GGGGGGGGACGGGGACGGTGGGGGGTGTCTGGGAATCTGAAGTTAAATGTCAAATTTCTCACATAATCCTGACTTGTGCGAATAGTCTGAGAGGCTAGTGCTGGAGAAGAATGAGCAAATTGAAAAAAATTCAAAAACTGTGCTTGGCGCTCCGAGCCTTTGAGTGTGTGTTGTTGCACTTGTGTGGAACCCGCTTGCAATATGTGGGGACCCTGCGACCTTCGACAAGGTCAAAACCGAGGTCAGAGGTCACGTTTTCATGCCGTACGGTGCCCTTTACGGCACAAAGCAAGTTCCGACCGCTTTGAGCTTGCTCTCATTAGAACCGGCTCGAAAAGTACATGCAGATTCATGCATCTGCTGCTCCTAATGTCAAAGGTTACGGCTTGAAATGTAACAAAGCTCCAAAGGTCAAAGGTCACGTTTTCATGCCATACGGTGCCCTTTACGGCACAAAGGAAGGTCCGACCGCTTTGAGCTTGATGTTATTTAACCGTCTCGGAGAGCAGATGCAGATTTATGCCTCTGGTGCGACTAAATGTCAAAGGTTATGGCTTAAAATTTAACAAAACCTTCCGTTAAGGACTTTTGAGAAACTGCAGTGCTGCATGAGTGTTTAAAGGACTTTCAAAAGGGCTAAAGAGATATATTTTTTTCACAGGGGGGCCTCTAAATAGGGCCCAGATCGGGAATCTAAAGTATGGGAACCTTAACCCACCCAGAACTTTTTTTTCAATTAAATGTCAAACTTTATCACAAAATCCTCTCATAAGTTAGGGTCTGACAGGCTTGTGGTGGGGAGTGGTAGAAAATGAAAACAATTGAAAAAATGTGGTTGGCGCTCTGAAACGTTGAGTGTGTTGCTTAACATCTGTGGAACCCGCTTGCAAAATGTGGGGACCCTGCGACCTTCGAGAAGGTCAAAACCGAGGTCAGAGGTCACGTTTTCACGCCGTACAGGTGCCCTTTAGGGCACAAAGGAAGGTCCGACCGCTTTGAGCTTGCTCTCATTAGAACCGGCTCGAAACGTACATACAGATTCATGCCTCTGCTGCTCCTAATGTCAAAGGTTACGGCTTGAAATGTAACAAAGCTCCAAAGGTCAAAGGTCACGTTTTCATGCCGTACGGTGCCCTTTAAGGCACAAAAGAAGGTCCGACCGCTTTGAGCTTGATGTCATTTTAACCGTCTCGGAGAGCAGATGCAGATTTAGGCCTCTGGTGCGACTAAATGTCAAAGGTTATGGCTTAAAATTTAACAAAACCTTCCCTTAAGGCGTTTTGAGAAGCTGCAGTGCTGCATGAGTGTTTAAAGCACTTTGAAAAGGGCTAAAGAGATAATTTTTCCACAGGGGGCCTCTAAATAGGGCCCAGATCGGGAATCTAAAGTATGGAAGCTCTCACCTTCCCAGAATGTTTTTCAATAAAATCTCAAATTCCTCACATATTGCTGTCTGGAGCTAAGAATCTGACAACCTTGTTGTGAGGGAGGGGGAGAAAATGAAATTTAAAAAAAAAATGTGGTTGGCGCTCCGAAACTTGGATGAAATAGCATGTTTGTTTTGTCCAATCTTGCTACTAATTGATCACTTTTAATAGGAATGTCTGTTTGACATATGTTCAGAATGTGCTATTTATTGCAGAAATAGCACATTCTGAATGACCCATTTTAATTGCAAACTGAATTAAAACAGTCCCCCCCGACCTTTGAAACTAATCTACCCACGTTTAGCATGCTATTTTCGGTTATAAATATGTTCAGAATGTTCTATTTATTCAGAAATAGCACATTCTGAATGACCCATTTTAATTGTAAACTGAATTAAAACAGTCCCCCCGACCTTTGAAACTAATCTACCCACGTTTAGCATGCTATTTTCGGTTATAAATCTTATCTTATCACCATGGATGTGCCTGTATTTAACACAAAAAAGCTTACAGCACCGGGTATTCCCAGGCTGTCTCCCATCCAAGTACTGACCCGGCCCGACCCTGCTTAGCTTCCGAGATCGGACGAGATCGGGCGTGCTTTTTTTTTTTTTTAAAAAAATCTTTTATTATATCAAAACATAAACATATTTACATTTTAAAAACAAAATAGTCCACCTTACTGATCCAAAAAAAAAGAACCCCAAGGCTTCCTACCAAATCAATAGCAATAACATCTCAGCATTCATTAATTTTTCTCCAACATACATATAATCTTCTTTCTATTCCAAACACAAAAAGTAGTGCTGTCCATCTCCACACTCCTGCATATCACACATCCATGACAGATCAACCAGAAACATAGCGTTCTTCAATTATGGCAGTCACATATTCAAACCATCACCCACTATTAACACATATCCAGGGCTCGACATTAAGGACTGCCCGATGGCCCGGGGCCATCTAGTATTTAGCTCGGGCAATGAAGCCTCACCTGCTGGTTGCCCGATCTGGCAATCTATTATGCCAGTAGCATGCAGCTCGCGGATCCAGTAATGAGTGACCCGACAGTAAAACTAAACATATCAATAACTAGTTTAGGTAGTTTGAGAGGTAATTAAAATAGCTACGTGTGATATTCTAAACTGAAGTGTGTGTTTTGTCCGCTCACCGCTGCAGGTGATTATGCAGAGCTGCGTGTCGACTCGTCAGCAGCAGCTGATCTCTCTCTCCCGTCAGATTAGACTTTACTCGCGTTTATGTCCATATCGATCAGAGCTAGTTCTAGCTAATGATAGGACTACCTGCTTATTAAAAGACACCTAAACAATAAGTGTCGCTATGCAACTGGGTGAGGCCACAAAGTATAGCGCAGCATTATGCATTTGTTTACATGCCCACCGGAACCCCGAGGCATTACTAACAGATCAACGCACAATCAACCCATACAGGACAGCTCTTTCTTTAGACATTAGAATTGACTATTCTTGTCTGTCACATACTCTTCTTGTCTGTCACATAAGTGGCTCAACTGAAGCGGTATTGCGCTAAAGGGAAATTATTTTGACCGAAGAGATTTAGATTTGCCGGCAAACGGGAAATCTGACGTCGCCATTTTGTGTGCTTCGCGGATGCGCTCGGCTGCTCTCGACTGCTGCTCGGGTCTGCTCGGTCAGCTTCCGGATGAGGAGGCATTCGACCAACTTACAGTAGATAACATTACAAACATTTTTAACAGGGGCCATAATAGTGTAAATAATGTTTGTTTTGGCAGTTATAACTGAATGTAATGTTTTCTACTTTTTTACATCTGGGAAGGCATTTGCCTTCATCAGATGGAAAGTGTCTTGACCAACAACTTAAGTATTTCTTATAGCTATGCAGGGCATGCAAGCGAGCAAACACAAACAAACAAGTGAAATGAAGAATACAATTGAAATAGTACAATATATTGTGGTGGTTCATCTTATAATTCAGTCTAGAGAACCAGACAGCATCTACAGTAAGACCTGCAAAAATCTAAATGTTCTAGGGTGAGGCCCCCCAAACCCTTCGTGCGTCATTTCGTCCGCGCGCATTTTTCAGGGCAATCTCTATTGGGCTCAGGGCCATCTGTAAATTAGCTTAGATGGCCCACAGGGCCATCTCCCAAAATCCTTAATGTCATGCACTGATATCACATCCCTAAATTACATATCATTCCCAATTCCCACTTTCCACATCTTTCCGAGTCTGAGCGATCGCCCACGCCTTTTGCTCTTCCCACTCCTCCTTCCACTCCTCCACCTTTTCTCCCTCTTTCCCTCCAAACGGCCTTCGCCTAATCCTAAGGCGATACTTGTCCTCATCGCTTTCCTCCCAAACACCCTTTTCATTAATCACCCCTATGTCTACTTTAACCCTTTCCCAGTTCTTCATTTCCTCCACCTCCGCTCTTGCCTCTTCCTCCTCCCTTTCCAACTCCATCATCTTTACTCTCAATTGCTCCTCCTCTCTCTGTCTCTGCTCCTCCTCTTCCTCATCTTGATCCATCCTATCCCCCCATCCCTTCCCCCCCTCCTCTAACTCAACCTCCTCAACCTTTCCCTCCTCTGTTTCCTTCTCATCCTCATCCTCGCTATCCTCCTCTATCCCCAGCTCTTCATCCTTTCCCCCTTCCTCCCTTACTTCTTCACATCCTCCCCCGCCCCTCAGTCTCCTCCCTCTCCACCACTTCATCATTCTTCTCACTCCCCTTCATCTTCTTTTTTACCTTCCTCCCCTTATCACTCTCCAAGCCTTCCCCCCCCCCACATTGACCGCATCATCATTCCCTTCATTTAACATCACATCATCATCAACACTCCCACCCTCTCGTGGCCTTTTTCCCCCTGCTTCCCCCTCCCCGCCCACATCCTCCTGATTGGGGGGGGGGTTGAGAAGTGGGGCCCTCCGGTGGGGGGAATGACCCCTCCTTTCCCTCACCCTCCGCTCCTTTGTGGGGACCTTGCCCTCCCTCTTCCCTCCTCTCTCTCCCCATCCCACAGTTCCTCGCTAAATGCCCCGCCCCGTTACACCTATAGCATTTTATGGCTGGGCACTCTCTGAAAATATGCCCAGGTCTGAGGCAGTTCCTGCAGACCTGGCTCTGCCCATCATGCTTTACCTTAAAAAACTCCGCTCCCCCCACCACTTCAAACTTCGTGGAATAGGGGAGGGAGCGTACCTCACTCCCGAACTCCACCCTCAGGTATCGTGTGCCACCCGCCACTTTTGTCCCCGGCATGAACCTTCTTATTACCCTTGACATAGGCTTCACCCCCCACTCCACAAGTTTCAACAACATATCTTCATCCCTCCTCAAATACACCGGCAGATACATGAAAGACACAATTAAGTCCTTCTTTAGCAGTTCTCGTGCTTCCACCATTACCCCCTTCACCCTCAGCCCCTCCAACAGCATTTCCTTCCCCTCCCATGTGTTCATAGTTACCTCATATTCCCTTTCCCCTTTCACCCTACACCCCAAAACTCTCCCACACATCTCCTGTATCCCCACTAATAAGTCCCCCATTGTTAAATGTTTTACTCCACCTTCCACGGAAACTTTTACGGTGAGCTCCGCCAGATAATCCACATCTGCTGCATCTTTCTCCTTTCCTTCTTCACCCGTTTTCTCCTCTCTTTCATTCTTCTCCTTCTCCTCGTTGTCTCCGCTGGGGAATCCCCCGTCCGCTTACCTTTTTTCCCTTTCTTTTCTTGAGTTATTCTCCGTTTTTTCCTCTCCGCCCGCCATTTTCGGGTTCTTTTCGCCCGTCGACGGCCTCTCTCCCGACACACCTTCTCCTGCCTTCCTCTTGGCCTCCTCCGCTTCCTTCTCCGCTCTTTTTGCATAAACGTTTCCCAGCGAGAAGACTTCCTTCCTCTTCTTCTCCTCCGCTGCCACTTTCTCCTTCCCAGCTCCCGCCGCAGCGCTCATAGCTTCCTCCTCAACAGCTGTGGTAGCGGAGTTGGCGGGGCTAAAACTCCCCTTTTCCACAATTTCTCCGTCTTTCACCACCATATAATTCTTCTTCTCATTATTCCCCTTGAAACTGTCCGTTTCTTTTTGCTTTTCTCTCCTTTTTCGTCTCTTTCCTCCTCCGCTGTTTTCTTATCCTCCGCCTCCATTTCCTCATTCCAGCTTCTCCCCGCCTGCATTCCTGAATGCACGTTCTTTCCACTCGATATTTCCGGCTTCCCAGCCATCTCTCTGTTTCGTGACTCTCACCCCAGACAGCAGTGCTGCTGGGGGTGGGGGTTTCGTCCAGGTAAACCCAATAAATATTGTCCAAATCTCACTTCTGCTTCGAAAACATCACAAACAATTCCGCAGCTCTTTCTCCGTACTTCCAATCCGCGCCCCTAGTGTCTCAGGGTGGTATGGCCGTAAGCAAAGAGTTTGGAGGGATAATTGGAGGGCTTCTTATAGCTGAGAGGAGCTGGATGTCTCAGGGCCGAGTTTGGATGCTGAAAGGCGGACTGCCAAACAACCATGTCGATACCCATCAGCTGCGGTAGCGTGGCGTGGGAAAAAAATTAGTGGAAGCCAATAATACGTCCTTTCTTTTGGGTCGGGGGTGTGGTGGTCAATGTAATAACGTAACCAGATGAGTGATTACAGCACCCGGTATCATTTTACACACATTTGTATCAGATGCAGGACTGAGGATTTACACACGCCTGTTATCTAACCGACAGGTCCGCACGCACTCTCCAGCCAAAACTCTAATAAGCATTCATTCACAAACTAAATCAGGAGACCTTTAACGTTTTACGTCCGATTCGCTCCTTTGTTCCTCGCTGCTGTTATGGAAATCTAAAAACCCCAATACTGTAGAGTACAAGTCAAAGTGATCAAATCAAATAAATGGTGAATCAGACAGAGTTGTCTTTCTGGTGATGTTTATTCGATGACTCAAACAAACATCAGATACAATAAAATATATATATATATAGACACAGGTCTCACAGAGTATAAAATATGTCTGCGCGAGTGTGCGCAGTTCAATATGATAGCAAAGCTTATAAAGGGAGGAAAATGGTGGGAAGGTAAGAAATCTTCACACGATCACATTGTTATTAGACACCTGGCCTTGAGCTGTAGAAGTTCTCGTGTCACTTTGTGTGAGTCAACTCAGTAGCCAAAACAGCTCTGTGGCCTTGAAGTAGTGTAGATAGAGGCAAACAGCACATCTAACCAAATGAGAAGCATTTGGTTTAAACATATCAGGATATAATAAAATGTCCACTACATTCCCCCCTTTTGATCATACTTGATCAATAAAAAACAAATGACAGGATAGACTGATATAACACATCAATGAATACACTCCATCGCTGGTTTAAGTAAACACATCACAAATATATCATAGAAAACTGGCTGTTTTTGTGGAGGACAGACTCCAATATAATGTAAGCATAAGAGGAGAGTACACTCGATTCACATGATTATATTGATTATATTGTAGTGTCGGAATCAGACTCTTCTGATTCTAGCTGGTCTATCTCACTGTGGCGCAAAGGATTGTCTTGTAATGGAATAGCAGTATACTGAACGAAAGCTAAGGATACCAGGCTGGAAAAGCCTTTCTTCAGTATTGGGATAATCAAACAGGTACAACTGATTAATAGGCCGAAAATGATTATCAGGGGTGTAACTATCCTAGCCAGCCATGCTTGCCACCCCCCCGATGTAAGTCAGGACTACCAGTCCCAGCCGCCTGCGTTGGATATGTCATCCACTTTCATGTCGGCCAACAAGTTGTTAAGATGCAGCACGGTGTCAGTGATGTTCTTGGTGGCGTCAGGAATGTAAGTGCAACAGGAGTCACCGATCACATGACACAGGCCACCCTTTGAGGCGAACAAAAGGTCAAGAGCAAATTGGTGCTGCATGAGCATATTCCTAGAGGCTATTATGAATGGGGCATGACCTGGAAGCCTTGCGTCGTCTCGTAAGTGAGGTTCTCTAGCCGAACGTGTAAGGTATCTATGTTATGGGCTTTTTACCTTGTGGTGTTCGTGGTGTTGGAACTCTGGGTAATGATGTGTCGTGTACATTAAGGACATGAGGACCGTGACTGCTGGATTCAAATCCACTAGAGTGCATGTACCTATCCAGAGGGGAGCCAGAACTTGATAGAGCAGGGAATGCTACGTTAGAAAGGATTCTTCCAGGGACACTGAATATGCAATACGAGATATTGTAAACACCGTAACTGCACTGTGTTCAGTAGGATACGAGTACAACCAGTAGTAGTACCTAGGAAAAAATAAGGTGGTGTAAGAGACGTTTTGTGGTATACTCTCTAGATACAAATGCTGTGTTTCATCCCTCTCAAATGGCTGGGGTGCACATGGCTGACCGGTTGGTACTTTGCGTATGTGGTATCAACCGTATATGCACGCAAATGGGAGTTAGACTTATTACTGCATGGTGGAGGAAGCTGCCTGGCATAACGCCACTCGGTTACGCGGTCTTCCCCCTTGATGGGCCTTGTCAGAGCCATAAACGCACAGAGGTGTTCAACCTGGGTCAGAGAGCGCGGACGAACTGGCACTGACATTGATGAGTCCTGGGGAAAAAGGGTGCATGCATAACATGAACCATTTTGTCCTGCGGCCTGCAAGAATGATCTCAGAGTGTGCCACCAAACGTTACCGGTGATCCCATTACTGGTCTGAACCACATCAATGTTGTTATGGTCGTTATTGCCTATGTATAGGTGACCAGCATTGGTCAGAGGAACGTCTTTTAAGTCCGGTCTAGGTGTGCACACAGTCGTGTTCGTCACCTTCAGGCAAAGGTCAATAAGAGGGTTCTTACACCTTTTCCAAAATCAAATTCAAGCACTTTTCAAGCATCTTACAGCTGTTGTAAATTACATATTTATATGCACATACTCAAGTGAGTATTTCCCTACCTCACATTAACTCAGATGTTCTTTATGCTATAAACAACCAAATGTGTGTTTCGTGATAGCATTCTACACGAGGATGAAAAATTAAAGAAAAGAAAACTAAGTTTAATATTAATATCAAAATGAGTGATCTGTACGTCTAAAAACCCAATTCAAGCGACCTTTCACCTCCACTTAATTAAATGCACTGGTTGCAAGATAAAAATGTGAGTTAATTGATTTAGATACAGTTCAAGTTGCAACATTAATTTATAAGTTGTGTTGACGTAATAATGTTGGTAATTACATCAACTTAATATTGTGTCATTTGAACTCTGATTTCTGCATTAATTGATTTCAAACTAAATTCAAGTTGAAGTATTGTAATGCAATTGGCTTGATAACTTAATTGTTCTTTAAAGGCAAAAACATGAATAAGCTCAAAGGAAAACCCTATTGAATACAATATTATTTGGAGCAACTTAATTTACAAATGGCTGTCAACTTAAAAACATCTGTCCATGTTCAACATGTGGTAATTAAGTATACACAACTTAAGATTACCTTTAAATGCTACGGTAAAACAAGTTGGAACTTTTGGAGTAATCAACTTAAAACTTGTGTTTATGCTACCAATTATTAAGTAAGTGGTAATTGAAAACACCTCTATGTAGAGGAAGCGCCTTTTCCCCTAACTCAAATAACTTTGTTGCTTTAACAAAATGTCATTAGAAGTTGTCTTAACTCAATAACCATCGATGCAACCTATTGCCTTGATTCTCTTTGTTAAGCCAAGCATTTGTTTTTAGAGTGTACGTAGACTGGGCCTCCCATATAACCTGGCTGAGCCGATATAAAAACAATCAGCCAAATAACTTTTCAATACATTATTGATTACTATTCTTTAAGGTCAGTGAACATAAGTCAGAGGTACATGGTGTACTTTTCCTTCACTACAAGTATTTAATACCTTTAGTTACTTCATAGATGTGGATGAATGATGTGAAATATAATCAAGTGTTGAATCAGATTTTAGTTCCACCTGGAGTAAATCCACCAGCTACCCTGCAGTATACAAAGTCATTCAGACTAGCTGCTCCTTTACCAGCTTTGAGAACACTTTCATGATCAATCATTAAAAACATATCATATATATTATTCTGAAATGGACCAATCTGCACAATGAATACTTTTACCGTATTATATTTTGATAATACTTTTCTACTTCTTCTTGAGGAACATTTTGAATGCAGGACTTTTACTGTACCACTCTGGTACTTCTACTTTTACTCAAGTAAAATATCTGAGTACTTATTCCACCTCTGGTAGTGCATTAGTCTGAATTATAGCTACAAAATCACGCAGAGCTGCGTAAATATAGCCTCACAATGGTAACAAGTGGAAAATAATATTTACCAATGTGTACAATGATTTTAGGTAATTTTGACTACTCAAGACACCTGACTTATACAAAGGAAGACTGTGTTCATTCTACAATTACATGGGATTAAAGCAACATGTAGTTTTACTTGTATAATACTTCCATTTTGTATAAAAGACAGTTTGTTTTCATCTGTTTTAGAACAAACCAAGTATTGGTCTTCAGAATACCAAACTTGTTTCGGCAAATTCAGATGATAAATACAACTTTGAAACTTGTAACGGCATAATTACAAGCAGAGAACGGACTAATGTAACATCACAGCAAGCATAACAACAGCCGTGTGTTATGAACACATACGCCAAAATGACATGACCCAAAAATGTAACTGTTCTTTGTACATATTGGAGTTTAGACAAACTAGCCTACTGGCCTTCGGCTGCGAGGTATTTTAACAAGGAAATGGTATCAGCTCCACACTGTTCTGCTGTGGGTAAGCAAATCATGAGGTAATCAAACTGGCCTTGTATGAGAGCGGTGCCTTTAGAAACTTGGAGAGAGACCAACCTTGTACACAATGCCTGGTTGTACGCAGTAGCCTTGACACAAACGTGTGAATCTGTAAGGTTTACCCTTATATTCAAATGTGAACAAAATTGACTGTCTTTGTGTACAGGAACACTGAAAAATGCATTTGAGAGATCTTATGACAATAAAAAATGCTGCAGAGGCTGGAACTTAGGAAAGAATCAGATAAGGACTTGGGACGAGCGTGCATAGCTGCATAGCATTTACAGCTGTAAATCCTGGACAAATCTCCACTCGTCAGGAGGTTTTGTCTCTGATCTTTTTGACAGGAAACACTGGAGTGCGTACCGGAATCGTTACACGGAATAATGACCCCTTGTTTAAACAGAGAGGTAAACACTGGCTGAATGCCATCAACAGCTTCACGTTTCAATGGGTACGGGGGTTGATTTGAACGGAACGTGGACATTAAACATACGTCATATCTGTGAGCTGCCCAGAGTGAGTATGGCCCATCTGAAAGCGCGGCAGGAAGCTCAGAGATATGAGAATTACCTCATCATCCTCAACCAACAGCAATGTGCGCAGAACGGCTACGTTTGTGCACATTTTCATCTTATACATGTCACCTGACATATAATACATAACAT